GAAGACGGGAATTCTGACATTAAAATGAATATTTCTAGTTTATTTGTGCATTTCCTTATGTTTCATTTGGCGAATGTTGTACGCGTCAAGAGAAAGCTTCCGTGGATGCTCTGGTGGGCGCTGTACCAGTATGAGGGGGCACTGTGGTGCAGAGCGCCCAACGCGTTTAAAAGCTCGAAAACGTTTCCGCTTGTTACGCACTTCAAGGCCAACTTATGGAGGGAGGGGAGGGGAAGAGGAGAATAGATAACTCTGGGGTGAATAATCTTCATTCGTACCTGCATACCACTCCTTCGTGGGACCAGCTGTAGAGGGATGAGAATTGGTTCACCTGACACACTTGCTTCCCAGCACCATCCAGCAACCAAACTCGTACAGCAGACGAAAAACTGACGAAACGAGGAGGAGACCAAGTAAGGAGCCCGACCCACATATTTGAGGACAACAAGCTAGGAGGCAGGGTCAACCGTCACGTTGGACCGATTTCAAAAATTTTATGACCCCCCCCCTCCCCCTTCCGCCGCCATCATGGGGCTCATTCTATAGTATTCGATTCTGAGACCAGTCGACACAGCCCAAACGGCAAAATTTTAGCGCGCCAACCAACTGCATCATCACTTCCCTTACTGTAACATTAACGCTACCTCGCGAAATACGACCCCCTTTTTTCCACCCCAAATACGACCCCCCACCCCTCGTTGGACTTTGTCCAACGCACGGTTGACCCTGCTAGGAGGCCGTCGGAAGAAACTTTCCACTCAAGCAGCAGAAACGGAAATGGGCGAGAGCGGTATTCTGTGAGCATCCACCATAGTAGGAGTGCGAGACAACTCGCCGGCAGACCAGAACCCCGCCACACCTTTTGATGCGTATCCGTGGAATACCCTGTGGAGGCTATTTCAAAACTGCAGGGGAAGGACGGATGATGGCCACAAAGGCTTCATCTTTCTCTCGTCTTATGCAGACACTTCTTACGCAGACAAGTTCGAAACGTCTCAAAATCTCCTTCCTCCGAATCAATGCCCGACCTCACATTGCTAAGATAATTCGCCGCGTTTTGAGGGAGACTGGCTGGACCACGATACCATATCCGTCGTATAGCCCTGACATTGCTCCATCGTACTATCACCTCCTCAGCCCTGAAGCAGCAGCTAGGAGAGAAAAAAGTCAGTAAATACAACCACCCCAAAAACGACCTCTCCGAGCTTTTCATCCACAGCTTCACTCGTTCTGGGAGGAATGCATCCATTCGTTCCCTAGCAAATGGATGCATATCAGTGATTATGATGGTGGTTATATTTTTGATCAATTGTTTTTAGGAAAGATAAAACTTGAAAAAATCAAAGTGTCGAAATTCGGCAGAAATTATGGGACAACCCAATATTTTATATAAGCTAGCGTGGCGCACCTAAGCGTGCAGTCAATAAATATAAGCAAACAAAGGAATAAATAAATATATAAAAATAAAGTGTAGTCCTGGTTCAACGTGACCAAACAGAAATCACCTGTTAGCACAAGTAAGAACACGCCTTGTACCATTCCACGTGGCTGACGTGACACGGTGGAATGGTAAAAACCAAACTGTCTCTGACAACCTCCCATGGCACGAGTTCACTTTTTCGAGATCCGCTGGTAGATTTATGAATCCTGTTTTCATTTCACAACGACATAGAGCGTTTTTCAGGTTTCGAACAAAACCAATTTCCCATTCATTTGAAAGTTTCAGAGTTATTTTATGTGCTGTTGGGCGCTCATGTCCTTAGAGGGGTCACC